AGGTTTGAATAGTCTTACTATTAGAGTTATTGTTAGAACATACGAAACGGTACACTTCCTGGAATTTAGCACAAACACCCGTATTCTTGAGGGAAGTGGTAGAATAACATTACATTTTCCTACTTCCGTGTCTTTATAAATCCACTTTCGTATAGCCTTTTGTAACCTTTTGACGTCTGGCTGTCAACTTGAAGGCTTAGTTAGTACTGACATGCTGGTTGGCGTCACCTAGACATTGTGTAGACACATAAAGTAGTTCTTGTCTTACCAATAAGAGTGAAACAGCGTGTTCTAGAAAACAACTTTGGAGCATAAAAGTTGATTGATAGCTTTTGGACGAGCTTTTATGCCAGTCGCCTGAAAACATGCACTGTAAAAAATTACTAGATAAATAGTATGCATTCTTCTCATTGATTTTCTGAAAGAATGCAGGAAATATTTTTCTGTGCTCACTTTGTAACAAATTGCGTCCTCTCGCAAATTTTATGTTTGAAGAAAGGGTATTTTTTGACTTCAAAAGGTTTACAATGACGATACTTTTTAAGACTACGAAAAACTTATTCATAGTATATCATGGCACTTCATTAACTAATGTATCGTCCTACCAGATAAGTACAAGGAAGCCATTCCGTAGTTTCGTCATGCGGTCGGCAAGGAGCTTTTTAGAAGCTGGCCTCCTGCTTGGGCTGTCATACATTGGGACTGAGCTAAATGATAATTGGTCTTATAACCCAACTAAAGTTTTCCTTTTGAATCGAAAACACACTTCGGAATTTTTACTAACCTATGTATGAAATAGCATTCGCGGGTGCCCTTTGTGGCCTTTCCCCTTCGCTAAGGCAAGAAGAGTTATCTTAATCCCCCATTTTAGATTTTCATTCTATGAGATGCTTTGCAATGTCTGTCTCGGTTTTCTAGGTTACATGCATGGACGTTTTAAGCCATTGTGATCACCGATTCTCGCTCATTACCCTACTTTAAGCCCGCTCTCCTGATTCAGGCCCTGCTAGGCCTCCGGTTGTTTAATCTCTTGCGTCTAACAAACCGCAGCTGCCTGCAGTAAACATACTTGGAATGACCGTTGGATACCAAGCGTGTGTAATTGGCAGGAGAGCCTGCAGTTCGCTGAACTACTCCCCTCAGGTTAACATCGCTGTGCGCTCAGTCATTCCGCCTAGGCCTGACCGTTAGAATCGGTTTGTATATGCTG